AATGAACAAGAATCGGGGACTAAACCCGAAATTATAAAGATACTCGAGGAACTGACAAAGCGGATAGAGTCAGGGGAAAAGAGGATCGAAGCAAACGACAAGAAAGTAGAAACCTATAACTCCAGGGTTGATCCGATCCCGAGGGCGCTACCAATACTGAAGTGTTTGGATTCCAAAAAATTCGTACAAAAGCCTTTCCCCCCGAGCGCAGCTCCCAAACCGATCCCCAAGAAGTTCCGCATTCCCGAGATTCCTAAGTATAATGGAACGATCGACTCCAACGAGCATGTCACCTCTTACACGTGTGCCATTAAAGGGAATGATCTAGAGGATGACGAGATCAAATTTGTATTACTAAAGAAATTTGGGAAAACCCTATCAAAGGGAGCAATGATATGGTATCATAATTTACCACCTAACTCTATCGATTCTTTTGCCGTGCTTGCAGATTCTTTTGTAAAAGCACACACCGGAGCCATAAAGGTCAAGACTAAGAAATCAGACCTCTTCAAGGTAAAGCATAAAGAGAACGAGATGCTAAGAGAGTTTGTATCTCGTTTCCAAATGGAACTAATGGATCTACCACCGGTCACAGACGATTGGGCCGTTCAAGCTTTCACTCAAGGGCTAAACGAACGAAGCTCAGTGACTTCATAGCAGTTGAAGCNACCTGGGCTGATATACATAATCGATATCAATCAAAGATTAGAGCCGAAGATGACCAGCTGGGGGCTCCTTCTGGTTCCGCTACCAAAAGAGACATCGACCGAGTATCGAGGATGAATAGGGATCTATACCAGTCATATAATAGAGATCGTAGGGGCAACAGACATGGGCACAACTCCATACGAGGTAAGAAGAGAAGCAAACGTGGCCAAGGCTCTCAAGGGTTGATCAGCAAGAATGGTTTTGACAGGCACACCGGGCCTAAGGAAGCACCGCGATTGTCGGAGTATAACTTCAATGTTGATGCATCCGCTATTGTATCGGCTATTGGACGCATCAAAAATACTAAATGGCCTCGACCTCTGCAGACCAATCCTGCCCAAAGAAATCCCAATCAAGTATGCATATATCATGGCACCCATGGCCACAGAACGGAAGATTGCAGGCAATTGAGAGACGAAGTAGCTCGGTTATTCAATGAAGGGCACCTTCGGGAGTTTTTAAGTGATTGGGCCAAGAATCACTTCAAAAATAGAGAGTTCAATAGACAAAACGAGCAAGAAGAACCGCAACACATTATTCACATGATTATCACAGGGATTGATGTTCCCCAAGGACCAGTGTTTAAACGCACTAAAGTCTCGATCGTAAGGGAGAAGCGATCTCGAGCTCAAGATTACATACCGAAAGGAACTTTGTCCTTCAACGACGAAGACGCAGAGGGAATAATGCAACCCTATAACGATGCACTGGTAATATCTGTACTCATGAATAAAACTCAAGTTAAGCATGTGTTAATTG